GAATATAAAATCTGTAAATAGGTTTATGGTTATTTCTAGGAGTTATACCATGGGACCTGTTTATCTACTGTTGAAATGCCTCTCAGAAACTGTATTTCTAGTTGTTGTTTTTTTACATTATTTAAATGTACATAGGTAACATGAATTTTGTCACAGAGTTTAACTCTTCTTTTAGCATACTGAACATCAGTAAATTTGTATTCCCCGATTTTCCTCTCTCATTCAGATGTGACATTCCCAATCGGTATAAGCACTTTCATGTGTTCTTTGCTGTGCTCTTTTCTACAGAAGTGCTAAATTACCCTTTGGTAATGATAATTTAATCTTACAAACTTAATTGAATGTCATTACAAACCACCCTCATTAAAGCTGGCTACATTGGAATGCACCATTGCACAAAACCTTGTATCTCATATTGCACTCAGAAATCACCAGCAAACAGCAAAATGCTACTTTTGATTGTGACAAGGAGCTACAGTACTATCTAATAACAGTGTTTCCACAATGTAGCATAAAGAAGTATCAAATGTCTACTTAAAAGAGAACTATGGGGTAAGGGTTTTTTCCCCCATAGTTCTCTTTAGGGTCACGGGAGGACATATACTAACCTACTCCCGTGACCCAAAGCTCAGTATTGCCCACGATATACTGAGAGCGCCGCAGCGCCTTACAACCTTACAATACTGTCTGGATCCACCTAGCTGCGTGAGTGACAGCTGGCTCTGCCTCTCTAGAGTCAGAGCCAGCTGTGCCCGCCCCCTCCACTGTTCGTTCCTCCACTTAGCGCTGGAGGATCGGAGAGGGGAGGGGGGAATCCCTGCGGGGAGCTGTGACTGACAGTCACTGCTCACTGCAGGGAGATGATCGGGGAGTGAGCGGATTGGCGGCATGTTTCTGCTCACTTCCCAATCAATAGAACCGACCTGTGACAGCTTTGTCACACGTCGGCTCTAACTATGAGGATGAGTGGAAATCACTCACCCCATAGTTCTCCTTTAACTTTGTTGCAATGAAGATATGTGGACACTTTGGGGTTGACTTAGTAAAGGCAAATAGGCTGGTTAATTTGCCATCAAATTTGTACTTTGCAGGGAAGGTTTCCCTTAGCTTATTGAATGAGGTGACATTTCTTTTTGCAAAGAATAGCCCATCTTGCTCAAGGGAAATAAAAAAATGCCAAGTGCAAATTCCATTGCAAAGTGGATAGCCTATTTGCCTTTAGTAAATCAACCCCTTTGTAGTCAAAACATGTTTATGTACATCTCGTAATGAAAATATAAGCCTGTCAGATCCTCACTTGTAAAGTCTACATCATAGGAATTTGCTTATGTGACATCCAGTGGATTACTGGCCAATTAGGGTGATAGTGTGCTTACATAAACCCTTATTAAAGGGCAAATTTAAAGGACAACTCTGGGCAGAATAAAAATGAACCCTTTCAGTCGGGGCTATCCCTGCACTGCAAGGGTTAACTGCTTATTTTGGTCTAGGGTGTAAAATTATTGGTGTGTAATGGATGCATGCTGATCCCATGATAACAAAATGTAAGTCTGTAATTAATATGAATGTTTGTCTTCACGGCTGTATATAAAAGTAAACTATAAGTATCTGTTGGTAGGTGGCTTTTAGCACCTTGAAATTAACAATGTATCTTAAATGCTAATTTTGCAATAGGCTCATTCAAAACTAAAATCATTTTAAAGAAAATAGGTGGACTGCCATTTCTGACTTTTGAAAAAGGTGGTTGGCTGTCAAAATGCAGAATAGCAGTTCTAGCTTCGCTTTGTGCATGCTTGTTCCAGGTCACACAGGAACAGGCACAGACAGCCAAGTAACTTACATTTTAGCAGACCACACATGTGGTTTTTTGATGATGTTATCCTAAAAAGGAAACCTGCCATGAGATAAATATGGAAGCAGCCAGTGCGACCTCCTGGTAAAAATGCTAGTTGCCTGAGTCCTTTACTCAAGGTAAGTAGGCAGTAAATCAAAGTGAATACAGAAATACCACTTGATACTGCATCCTGGATAACTCATTATGGAGCCAGATACTTCTGGCCACCCTTTGCTGAAGGGCCCCATAGCATTCTCATAATCTGCTTTGGCTCTAGGTACATCTTTTACATAGCATGGTGTTGCTGTCAAGGTGCTTGTACATAGGTAGCTGGAGATCGTGCAACCTCTACCTACCCCTGACTGAACACAGCACAGCCCAGACAGCAGCCAAAGCTCTTCTCTCTCCTGCATTGAACCCTACCATGAGCTTTTCAGTGGTTGTACCCTCTCTTGTGGCCATATGGAACACATCTAAAGAGCACATATCCCTTCTGAGAAACTTTCCAATGCAGATAGAAAAACTGTCAGGCACACATGTATAACTTAGATGTGCTGCAGGTAGTGTTCAATTAATTCTATTAGCAGCGGAAGGAGACCCATTCCTATTGAGATCATTACAGTTCAATGTGCTCTGTTCACACAGTACCTGGAAGTACTGCCTTCATTCAGTTAATGCTACTTACACATACTGTAGTATCACACCGCTGATCCATTATCACTGCATGTGTGCGGTTTGAATAGCTGAAACAGCAGAATATTGAAGCTGGTAGGATGATTAGAGGTCATGTCTGTAAATATGGTTGAATGGTGGCCTGACTATGAACCCAATATCACACTGAAAATTATCAAGCAACGGAGCCAAGCATCACACTGCATGGCTTACTGAGGAGTAATCACACCATGTAGGATGTGAAATTAATCATATCAGGAGACTTTTGTGGTTGATGCTTCAGGTTATTGCAATTTTCACTTTGCTGTTAGCCCTTTAAATGAAGCCCTATGATTTGTCTACCGGTAAGCATCTATTTGGATTAAATGCGGCCCATGAGCTGACAGACATTGGCAACAGAAAACAGTCATTAAACATTGTAGCACAGCCATGTTGGGTCAAGAGAACTATTTACAGCTGAATAGTGGCCCTAATTTTGCATCGTTGCTATTTTTAATTCAATCATTTCATTTTTATCAGTGCTTCAGGAGGCAGTCAGCACACGTGACTTAGAACTGGTCCGCTTGATTTTACGGCATCGGGACTACCAAAGGGCCATTAAACGTCTGGCAGGGATACCCGTCTTACTGGAGAAACTGCGAAAGGTATGTTTGAATGAGTGATTTAAATATGAATGTTCTTCCTTTATGGTTTCTTGCAGAATGCCGCTATTCTTTCTATCAAATGATGACTTTTAAATATTCAAGAGTTTATTAATCCACAAATCTGCTGGTGATAATAAACAGGAATATTCACGGTTTCACCTGACATATGCCCTGTGTTATTATTATTATCTTTTTTTTTATATAGCTTCATTATATTCTATAGAGGTTTTCAGGAGTGTATGTAGTAAACATGCTGTTTATACATTGTTAAAATAAAATGATGGTGATATTTTTGCTTACACAGTATTATAGTTATATTGTAAAGTTAAAGCCTATCTCTAGGCAAACCAAAAAAAGTACCTTTCAGGGGGGCTGCCCCTGCACCGCAAGGTATCAGTACTAATTTATGCCTAGGGGACAGGAAAAAGCTGTTTTACTTACCTGATCCTTCCTCCTGCCGGCTTCCTCCAGGCTGCTAGGCTTTCCTCTGCAGCCTTTTCTCCCCTTCGCTCTAGCGGTCTAAGGACCGCTGACGTCATCACGTGTAATGCAGGTTCGATAGACCTGCATTAGACATGAGGACACTGAGTGACAAATCATCAACCAGAGCGGAGGGGGAGAGAGGTAAGACTAGCTAAGGGGGGATCGGCGATTAGGTAAGTAAAAGTGTGTTGGTCCAATCCCCTAGTCATAAATGAGTAACTAACCCTTGCACAGAGCGCGGTTGGGTTTTCTGTGATCTAATTTTTTTTCTTACTTTCTGCGCCATATTATCATAATTTATAGATGTGTCTTCTAATGGGCATCGTTTTGTAGCATTATCTCTTGTTGAATGGAGGCTGAGATAAAATTACTGTATGACTATAGTATTACCCATCTAAGTGAATGCCTGATAGACTTAAAATCACTCAAGGTATAAACCCTGTAAGTGAATGCCTGATAGACGTAAAATCACTCACAGTATGAACCAAGTGAGTGCATGTCTGATAGACTTTCACTGAAAGAGAGGCACAATCCCTGCCCTGCTAAGCAGGAGGCTTTAAGTAGTTATGAAGGCATAAAGAAGGATAGGACTGTGTGGGCAGCCATATGTAGCCATGTAGTGGGGCACAGCAGAAGCCTTTTCTGGTTGTTTGCTTTGGAGTACATTTTCTTGAGCCTGTAGTAATATCTGAAGCTTACCAGATCTTCAGTCTAATAGAACTTCAGGCAGTCTCACAGCTAGAAAGAGTCCTGGGACAAGCTGATCATATACACATACACTTTATTCAGAAGAGCTTACATTCTGATAGGGAAAAGCAGCAACACATAAGACATATACTTACTCGCTTAGTGGATGTTGTACAAAATACTAAAACTAAAAAAATAAATAAAGTAGAGCAATCTCACATCCAAAATGAACATTTAGTGATAGTAATGATGTTGTCGGTAGTAGAGCACCCTGAGGGCTTGCCTCTATTATCTGAAGGACTTCCAAGGAAAAGAGTTCTCATTTTGTGTCACTTGCAGTTATTGACAGCCTTACAAATTTCCTGTTGCAGGTTAGACACATGTAATGGGGTTTCTGATGAAGCCAATGATTTTTTTACTGGTTTTCTCTTACCTTAGGGGTTCGATTTTGCTGCTGGCAGATTTTATATATTTTTTTTCTTGGTAATTTAACAAAAATGAATACATTTAAATGACAAGCATGGAGTAAGACATATTTTGCTCAACTGCAGAAGTCACTGATTTAGCTAGTTTAAACAAATGAGTATTTTTTTCTCAATAATTTTTTAGAACTTCCTGTAAATAGATCAGCCTAAAAGAGAAGAAAAGCCAAACCTTTTTATGGCTTTACTTCTCTTTTAAGCCACAGGAGTATATTTACTAATGTACTCCTGTGTCCGAAAGTGAGCATAGTCAGTGCCCGCTAACTGCTGACAGTGCAAAGTGACAGCTGTGCCCGTCCCCCTTCTCTGCGTGTCCCTCAAATGGGCATTGGAGGAACAGAGAGGGGAGCTTTCAATAAAGAGCCAGTCTGTGACAGCTGCAGTGTAGCACGTCGGCTCTTAGCTGTATGGAGTAGAGATGCAACGAAATTGAATTTTTAGACTGTAACCAAAAATAAAAATATTTGTCAGGCCGAAACCAAAACCGAAAATTAAATTTTCCCCCCAATCTTTTTACATTTTTGTACATTTTATGTTTATTTATATTGATTGATTGATTGATTTGTATTATTTATTTATTTTTCACTTTACTGTTGGGGCCCTGGGGAAATATCAGAGGTCTAAACAGACCCCTGATATTTTTCTTTTAAAATAATAAAAGAGATTGAGGACACAGAGTCCTCAACCCCTTTTTGTTGCAGCCCCTGTTATGAATGAACAGGAAACCTCTATACTGAGTGTTCCTGTCCATTCATAAACTGTGGATATAGCATGAGTTACTATGTCCACAATCATGAATGAACAGGAAGTGATGTAGAACACTTCCTTTTCATAATTGGGGACACAGTAAGCTTATCAAAGTTATTTACAAACACTCAGCTGATTGCTAAGTGTTTGTAACCCGCTCTCCATCCTGGCTCACCTATCACAGAATGCGGAGCGGCGCGGTGTGGGAGGAGAGCTCGACCTCCTATGACAGTTGACAGCTTTTTCCTCCCACAACACTCCTCTCAGCATCCTGACTCTGTCACAGCTCACTCCTCCCCGCACTGCTCGGCATCCTGAGCTCTCTCCGCCCCGCTCTGCCTCCTGAAAGCTTCTCTTCTCACCGATGGATGCCGGTCTTTGTCCCCTCGAATCAGAGGGCATTGGAGGGGACACAGACCGGCGTCCAGCAGAGATGAGAGAAGTTAGGGATGCGCTGAATTTTTGGTTGCATTTTCGGCCTTTATGGCTTGGGTTCTGCATTGTATGTTATCAAGGGAAACTCAGTGTCCCTACTTTGCCCCTCCACTTTAAAATTGTCCAGAGTATCTTGCAAAAGTGGAAGTAGTCTTTAAAGTAAGCACTGCAAGAATAGTTCAGAGCATGCCCACACTATACGTTCCACTGGACAAATGTTTCTTCTCCCATGGGGACCGCTTGCCAAATTTCATACTTCAAAATTGCATTTACTACAAAATTTGTGTTTTCCTGCAGCAGGAATCCCTTATCTAGCATTTACAAGCAGCAGCTGTCACCTGCGCAAGTTAATGATCAGGTGACAGCCGCTGCATGTAAACACTTTCACTCCGCATGTAATGGTATGTATTTTGTTTTATGTAATATGATTAACATGCAGTTAGAAAACACTCTCACTCTCCCTGGATGCATTGATTGTACATCCAGGGAGAGTGATTGATTCCTAACATGGGTGACAGCTGCTGCTTTTAAACGCCAGATTAGGGATTCCTGCTGCAGGAAAAAACAAATTCCTGATACAGAAATCCCTCATCACACCTAAACTTACAG